GGTTGGATATGGATGGCCGTCATGTGGGCCGGGCGGGCAAGTGTCGCCCACGCCCCGCGCCCCGCCGTAAGCAGCCGTAACTGAACGACGCTCGCGTCGCAGATAAGGTGGTCTTAATCGCGCCGAGTCTTCTGGCTTTGTCCGCGCGTCGGGTCGGAGTGGCTCACCGTTACAAGAAGATCAAGAAGACAGCGGCGTGGAGGAGACCGACCACTACTGGCACCTCGCCCCACCCCGCTCCGCCTCGCCACACGTTGCTGATGTGTTTCGATATTCGTCTGAGCGCGGCGAAGGCATGCCGCCGCCCCGCGAACATGGCGGATGAGGAGGCATCAGAACTCCGAGGGGGGCCAGGCAGGCCAGGCCGGCAAGGCGGCACGGAAAATCGTGTTTTTATTTAAAGAGACGGGAGCAGGATAGGGATCAGAACTCGAGCGTGTCGTCCATGACGGCAAAAGAGGATGGAGTAGGGGGGGGGGGCGGACGGGGAGAGAGAGGGAGCAGCAGGGTGTCGAGCAGGGGGAGCAGGGCGTTCCCCCCTTTGGTGACCCATCCGTCTGAATAGGGGATTTGAGTTTGAGAGCAAGAAAATACCGAGGCGCGGAGCGAGGAGAGAGGGTCGTCGGGGGAGTCGAGAAGCAAAGAAGGCGCGGTAGAAAAATAAGGGAGAAACGTGTCGAGTTGCGGCGCAGCTGATTGGGGCTGTGAATAACGACGACACCGAGCCGACAGCGTCGTCGTGCCGTCGTCACTTAATAACAATATAATGTGATTATTTGGCGTTCCGATGGCGCGCGGCTCCGACGCAGCAGCGCAGCAGTTGACGACGACGCGGCTTTCCTCGCGGCTCCACCACCAACCGCAGTGGGAGAGGCGAACCAGGCCTCTGACTCCACACAATTAGATTGGAGGAGAGAGACACGCTCCGCGCGCTCTGCTCAGAGAAGCAGCTCCGCTCAGGCCTCGGCTCGACGGCACACCCACGCCGCACGAATCGCGATGAACACGGCGTAGAATTATGGGTTCCTAGAGCGGGCGAAACAGCGTCAGCGTCAACGCGCCACGCCGCCGGGGAGGCGTGCCTTGGGGCGGGGCGCGGGCCTGGTGGGCCTTCCCTCTGCCGCTGCCTCCTCCTGGAGCTACGCTGCCTCTGATTACAGGTGGAGCACAGCGGCAAATAAGCCACTGAAGTGGTTTCGAGAAAGCCTTCGGGTTGAAAAAGGCCCGGGCAATTCCCCCCGCGGGCTGCTGAACCTACTACGACGTCGACGGGGTGGCGTTATCGCCGCGAGAGCTGTTAAAACTTTTGTGGACCGATATGGGCTACGACACACAGGCAACCAGCTGATTTCGTTTTATCATCGGGCCAGATGAATGGAGCACGACGTCGTAAATTAGTTCTAAGCGCCTTCGGGGGCTCCATCTTGAACAAAACGCAACGTGGTATGCAGCCCCCTCCCCCTTCTCTCCCCCCCCCCTCATGCCCGGGAGCTGCGTTCGCCGTGCCTTTGGCCGGAAGGGAGTTATTTCTGAAAACACTTGAGGCGTTCGGTTCGTCTCGGTTAGAGAGTTATGGCTCCCTAAAGGCGTTGAGAGGCGAAATACCTGCTGCCCCCCAGTCCCCCACACACATCGAGCTCCCTCTCCTCTGCTTTACCCC